AATTCTACTAGTTTTTCCCCCATGATATTTATTGAGCTCTACATTTTTCTCTGTTCCCCTCCCTGCCTCTCCCCTCCCTGCTTCAACCCTCCCCCAAGGTCCCCATGCTCCCAATTTATTCAGGAGATCTTGTCTTTTTATACTTTCTACTTCCCATGTAGATTAGATCTATGTAAGTCTCTCTTTGTGTCTGCATTGTTGTCTAAGTTTTCTGGGATTTTGGTTTGTAGGCTAGTTTGCTTTGCTTTATGTTTAAAAAACCACCTATGAGTGAGTACATGTGATAATTGTCTTTCTGTGTCTGGGTTACCTCACTCAAAATAATGTTTCCTAGCTTCATCCATTTTCCTGCAAAATTCAAGCTGTTGTTATTTTTTTCTGCTGTCTCTACAGTCATTTTAAAAGACATTAAAATGTCTAGGTCAGGTGTGGTGACTCACATTTTTAACCCAAGCACTCAGGAGGCCGAGGCAGGGCAGCCTGTGAGTTTGTGGCCAGCCTGGTCTACAGAGCAAGTTCCAGGATAGCCAACGCCATACAGAGAAACCCTGTCTTGAAAAAACAAAACAAACTGTCTAAGCTTGAGTTTTTATTGCTGTAAAGAAACACCATGACCTTATAAATGAGAACAATTCATTGAGGGGGCTTGACTACAGTTTCAGAGGTTCAGCCATTATTATCATGGTGGGGACATGGCAGGGAGCAAGCAGACAGGGCATTGGAGCTGAGAATCCTAGATCTTGAGGCAACAGGAAGTTGACCATCACACTGAGGGAAACTTGAACCAAAGAGATATCAAAGCCCGCCCCCAACAGCAACATACTTCCTCCAACAGGACCACATCTCCTAATAGTGACACTCCCTTTGGGGGCCGTTTTCTTTCAAACCACCACACACACAAAAAAAAGAGAGAGAAGGAGGGAGGGAGGGAGGGAGGAAGAGAGGGAGGGAAGAAACAAAGCAGCTTAAGATATAGATGGGTCAGTTTTTACACAGATGTCTTCTCTGACAGCTGTCATTGTTCCATCGAAACCAGGAGGGGATGAAAATCCGGTCAGTGGATGCCTGTTTCAGCACCCATAGTTTATTATACACTAGGTGGTCTCTGGAAACAAAAATCAAAATGAACTGGTCAAGTAATCAACAGTCAGAAAAGCTCACTGACATGCTCACAAGGATCCTAGAGAGTATCCCAAAGAAGTTGGGCACGGTGGTGCATGCTCATAAAATCCCCACACTTGGAAATTAGAGATGGGGTGCTAGGGGTTCATGGTCATCCTCATACTGAGTTTGAGACCAGCCTGGTCTCCATGAGATCCTGTCTCAAAAACTCTGAATTTGAAAACTAAAAACAAAGTAGAAATCACTGGCAGTGAATGAGGTAACTCAACATTGCAAGCTCTGTGTGAAGCCTGAGGTTGTCCTCCCAGACCTCTACGCTGGAGGTTGTCCTCCCAGACCTCTACGCTGGTGTAGTCAGAACCTTGACTTATGCTGCAGGAGACAAGTTCAACCCAAGTCAGAATGAAGCAAAAATTGGAGGTTTTTAAGTGAAGAGTGCAAATCCGGAGAACAGAGTGCAGCCTTAAAGAGAAGTACACATTTGAAGGCCGTAGGAATAACCACAGGAGCTAGGCGTGGCCGTGGTCACTTGTGCCTGCAACCAAGAGATGGAAGACAGACACAGACAGATCCTGAAAGCCTGCCTGGCCAGCCAACCTAGCCAAAATGGTGAGCATCCCATTCAGTGAGAGGTCCTGTCTCAAGGTGACCAAGGCAGAAAGAGAGAAGGAAGACGCTCGATGTTCTGTTGTGGACAATCTCTTTGTGCACTGTGAAGATGTGTCACTCTGATTGGTTTAATAAAAAGCTGAATGGTAATAGCTAGGCAGGGTTTCCAGGGCAGAGAGGATGCTGGGAAGAAGAAGGCAGAGACACCAGGGGATGCAGAGTGAGCTGCATTGGCAGTATAAAGTAAAAATAACCAAGTCACGTAAAAGGACGTTGATTAAAAGATATGAGTTAATTTAAGTTATAAGAGCTAGTTAGAAACAAGACTAAGCTATCGGCCAAGTTCTTATAATTAATAATAAGTCTTCGTGTCTTTGGGGAGCCTATGGTCCTGATGGAAAACTCTGATACAAGGTCCTGTTTCAATCTCTGCACATGTCTGCTCAACGCGTGTACCACACATATGCACTAGTCAGACAGACAAACAGACACATACACACACATACAAACAAACACAGTTAAATATTAAAGAAACAAATAAACAATAGTGATATTTAGGTAGTATTCTTTAAAGAATATAGTCTAGATATTTAAATATCAAGGAATTCTTACGCTACACAGGACATGACTGGTTAGCTGTTTATTTTGTTTGTTTCTGGATAGCTGATTTAATAACCCTGTTTGTGATACTTCTAAGAAAAGAGAGTATATAGCTCCTAGGATATTGTGAGATTTGATCAAATGTATCAAGATTCTTGACTTTTGGCCAATGAGAAATGTAAAGTAGATCTAGGAGTGGGAGGCACTGTTTCCGTTCTCCTTCCCCCTTAACTTTCCCTATCGTCCCATCTTGCCTCAGGCTCCGCTCAATGGAACGTTTCTCCTGTTTGATGAAATGAAGTGTTGCCTGTTCCTTGGACTGCAAATAAAAGCCAATTAGCATTTTTGAACTAAATTCGCCATTTTTACTTCCGATAGGGTGGGGAGGCAGATCCTTACCATGGGGTCTGAGTTTGCACCTAGGGAGCGAGGCCTGTTCTCTTGGAGAGACTGCAATCTCTGCAACAGTTCAGGAGAGGGGAGAGGACTGAGTAAAATGGGAGGGCTATGCCACTTTTCCTATGCACCCCGTTTCCGCCTTTACTCGACCCATTCTGCCTTCCACTTTACCAAAATCCAGAGAACATTTATTTCTTCACAGTTCTGACTAAAAAGACTCCTCACAGAACAGCAGCCAAATTCCTAACCCCTACTTCCCAGTCCTGCACCAGCTGCCACCGCTGCCACCAGCTGCCGAGGAGACATCACTTCCTGCTGGCTCCCTCTGCAGACTACCCATCTTCCCACCCTCCTTTCTCTTCCAGATTCTCACACTCACTACCCAGGGCTTTGACACTTCTGTCTGGATCAGCAGTCACCCCAATACCTACCTTTCTCTTCCTCACGCCAGTCTTCCCCTTGCAGAGATGCCTCCCAGCTCTTTGCTTTCCCGCTTCCCTAGTGCCCGTCACGCTCTCACTCCGCCTTACAGCTTCATAGCTTTGACATACTTTATGGTAGCATCCACTTGTCTAGTTCCTCTCACTGGGAGGGAAGAAAGTCTCTGAGGTGCACTCTTGGCGCTCCTGCTACCTCTCCGACAAATGAGGCCTCCAACATAGGTTGAGTGAGTCTCTTTATCAAGAGGGCAGAGAAAAAGGAGAAATGCCAGGTACCCTGCCGTAGCAAATGACTTTGGAAGGTATGGGCTATTTGTTATGTCCAGGGGAAAGGAAAGACTATAAAGAAAGAGCCTCAGAGTAAGAAAAGTGGGGAAACATTCGGACATAAGAACTGAGACAGAAAAGCAGGGAGCACAGTGGACATAACAGGACAATGGGAATGGAGCCAATGTTCTCTGCTTATCTTGAACTTAGAAAAAAGGAAAGGAGGGGGAGCTGGAATCTGGCTATGTTCCTGGAAGCTGGCACCCGGCAGCCCTGCCCTATTCCCGGCCCCTCGGGGCAGGACACCTGTGCAATCTGGGATGAGTCTCCAGTCCCAGATGGTAAGCCTGCGAGGAAAGGGTGGATGATCTGAATGTCTGACTGCTGCGGGTTGTTAGGGTTGTTGTTACTGCTTATTCTAGCCCCTCCCTAGGCTCCATCCTCTGTACCAGAAAAGTCCTGATGACGCGGCGGGATCAAAGGGCCAGTCTAACAAGGGCAAGCACTAGGACTTGTGGTCAATTCTAGGGACTTTAGATCAAAAGGGAATCAGTCCTGGAAGGAAAAAAACCTAAAGAGAGGAGAAATCTACAGCATTGTTTCTGGTGCTGTTTCAGGCTTAAGGAGAGGGGCAATTCGCTCTGGTGGTCTACCACCGCGGTACCTAGAAGTCCTGAGGTTCCAAGTCCAGAACTCACAGAGGAGGACTTGTACACTCTCAGCTTCCCACACGCCCATTGGGCTGACTGGGTCTGGAGGAAGAGATGGGGAACCCACAGATTTAGAGCCCACCTACAGCCCTAAGTTCCCCTTCTCAGAGAAAAAAGTCTTGAGAAGGGTCTGGACTAAGGATGGCTGGATGTAGGCATAGAGAACAGACAACCCAATGTTGGTCACAGCAGACTTTGTGATAGAGATGTTCACTATATAAATGTTTAAACTCTATGAGTGACTTTTTCATAAGAAGATGTCAACAAACAGAAAAATTGTCAGGCAAATATTTGGCACTGCTCAGTGTTGAAAGTGGTTTTGTATTCTGGGAGAAGGCATATTACAAATGACTGAAGAGGGCAACATTTACCCAGCAGAAGGCAAGAGTACCGACAGACCATTTAGGGTAGGGAGAACCTCCCTCCAGGACTCTTGGAAGGCATTCTCATTTGCTTGTGTCTTCAGACAGGGTCTCCAACTGTAGCCCAGACGGACCTGGAAGTCACAATCTCCTTGCCTCAGCCCCTCCCCACCCCACCTCCCACCCCCCAGTCCAGACTTTGACATTGTGCACGCGAGCCACCATGTCTGGATCAATTGCACTCTTGAAAAACGAGCTGCTTTTCCCACCCTTCAGCTGGACTTTAAACATATTTATTCTGTCTCTTCACAAATCTTCACTGTATCTAGAGTGGACCCCACCTTGCCACCTGGAACCCTTGGGGAGAGGCAGAATAAGATGTTCCAGACCCTGCTTGACACCTGACCCCAAGAGGCTGGTCCTGTTTGCTCAGCAGGTGAGGTTCACATGGTAAAGAAGAGTGGGAGGGCCAGGACCTGGTATAAAGGCCTGGGAATTTCTAGAAGATCTGCACCTGAAATTGCTAAGGGAAAGGTGAGTTGGTACAGGGGGAATGGGGAGATGGGTATTCAAATCTGAGCTAGAAAAGACAATGCCTGGACGGTAGCAGGGGAGACCTGGGCAGCAGTTCCTGGATGTGAGCTATTTTGGGGTGCAAGGATGTCTGGTTTTGGCTAAGGGGGTGGATAGGAACAGATTTAGCTGGTGGAGACAGTTGTGACACATGAGCAAGTTGCCTTGAACCTGTTGTCTGAGCTCGTGCAAGCTCCTCCTGAAACCTCTCAGCCTCTTGGCTCCACCAGGAAGGGATCCTTGGACGCTGGTGTTGGTGCACCATCTTCTACTGTCTCCTTTGCTTCGGAGGGGACACAGAGGCCCTCACAGATGTTCCTTGCCTTCATTTAGGAGTAGGGTGACGCTCTAGATTTAGCTGTGCCTCAGATAGCTCATAAACCATCAGATTTCAGGGAAGTTAGGCTCTGACTGTCAGAGCTGGGAGAACCAGAGGGATTAGGGGCCTAGAAAATCTGGAAGGAACGAGACTGTCCATCGACAGTTTTCTCTAGGCTTGGGGCTAGGTCTGCAGTGATGCATCGGAACAGCGTGGGTCTGTATTCCAGGCCAGAGATGCCTGGGCTAATGAGGTTGGAAAGAAAGGAATGAACCCTCCTCTCCCCCTTCTTCCCACTGCAGCCTCAGAATGTTGGCCATCATTCCCTTAGCCCTTCTTTGTGCCTCGGCCTCCGGCAATGCCAGTAAGTGAAATGCCACGGAACTGGCCGTGGGACCATGGGAAGGCAGCCTGTGAGCTGCCACTCAGCAGGGCTGTCAGACTCTGCATTGGGGTGGCAGAGGAAATGAGGGTAGCTCCCAGAGTATTTGTCCCTCCAAGCCTTTCCTTCTCCTCTAGTTCAGTCCAGGTCCTCCTCCTACAGTGGGGAATATGGAGGCAAAGGAGGAAAGCGGTTCTCCCATTCCGGCAACCAGCTGGACGGCCCCATCACCGCCATCCGTGTCCGAGCCAACTCACTTTACATCACTGGGTGAGCATCTTCATGTTTCTGTGATGTGGGACTTTACTAGGACCTTACTAGGTTGAGAAAGTCTTGTTCACTCTGGATCACACCTGTTTAAATGGGTAAGTCACAGTGAAGTGGTGTGCACCCTGAGTCCGGAATGTGCTATTTAGTCCCCTAGTGCACATAATCTTGGTGAGTCATAACCCTGGACTCTCAGGGGCCTCTCATTACCTGGGCTGGATCTAAACCTGAGATCTAAACTTCTTTTCAATGTTTCTTTCAGGCATCCTTAATCTTTGCTTGTTTCTGTCCTGGGATAGTGCCATTCCTCCCTCTAGCTGGAACATTTCCTTTTAGTCCGAGTTCTGAACTGTGACCCGGTGCTGATTTGCCTCCTCTCTGTCTCGCCCGGGGCACCTTCCAGTGTTTGAAATCCTCAGACTTCTTTAAAGTGTGTGTTAGGGGTGAGCTCAGACTCGCTGTCTGAGTGACTCTGAGAAACTTACCTTAGTTCCACGAGCTGATTTTCAGCAAAATGAGAAGTTGCGATTCTCTGCATGGTCTCCTAGGGCTGACACAGTCTTTGTGTCTTGTAGAACATGTCACCAGTTCAAGATACAACATATAGACTAAGAAGACTTGATTTATATATATATAAATGATATTATATATAATATATATTAAATATATGTGATGTATATAAAATGTATAATACATTTATTTTATGTTTGTGTGTACGTGTGGAATTGCTCAAGTGTCCTCTTATACATGTGGAGGCCAGAGGTGATCTTCTGGGAATGGGTTCTCTCCCTCCACCCTGTGGACCTAGGGGCTGAACTTAAGTTGTTAGGCTTGGGAGCAGGAGCCTTTACAAGCTGAGCTACCTCACCATTCATCCCAGTCTTGATTATGATAACCAATGTGTTCCTTCTTCCTTCTCACCCCTGCCCCCAGTCTCCAAGTGCGCTATGGCACAGTGTGGAGCGAATACGTGGGTGGCAAACAGGGAGACCTGGAGGAGATCTTTCTGCACCCCGGGGAATCCGTGATCCAGGTGTCTGGCAAATACAGATTTTATGTGAAGCAGCTGGTCTTCGTGACAGACAAAGGCCGCTACCTGTCTTTTGGAAAAGACTCAGGCACGAGTTTCAACGCTGTTCCCTTGCACCCCAACACCGTCCTTCGCTTCATTAGTGGCCGATCTGGCTCTGTCATTGATGCCATCAGCCTACACTGGGATCTCTACCCTAGCCACTGCAGCACTTGCTGAAGCCCACCTTTCTTTCTGGCGGGTGTGAGAACTCCCTCATCACCAAGCCCCATGCAAATGTGCAAACAGCTTAATAAAAGGATATGACTGAGACAGTGTTTGTTTACATCTTAATTCTAATAGAATTGTGAATTTCTTACTTCTGGATTTTTAAAAAAATTTAAAAAAAATTTTGAGACATGACCTCTGGACATACCCTGGTTGTCCCTGAACTCACTATGTAGACCAGGCTGGACTCACAGAGATCTGACTGTCTCTGTGTCTGGAGTGCTGGGATTAAAGGGGGGTGTGCCACCATGCCTCACTATATCTGCTGCTCTTGAACATTAATCTGGAAAATGGGAGAACAAGAAAGAGAAGCGCTAGAGGCTTTTCTTTACATGTTATTAAAAAAAAATAGGACAAAATCATGCCTGTACTGATTCTTTCCAAGGATAGCCCCTGAGAATTTTCCCAATAGGAGTTCTGAGGCTAGGATCCGGCTCAGCTATTCCAACTTGCCAAAACCCACTCTCCAGCTCTCCTCTACTCCTTGGCTTGGAAAAATGCTTTCCTGCCCCAGATGTCACCTTCTTCCATCTACATGAAGCCTCTTGCTGTCCGTGGCGGGAGCACTCTCCTTTCTCCTTTCTGGAACCCACTTAACTTCTAAAGTTTGCCACGGACTTCACTCTGTTGTCCTAGCCCAGATCCTCTTAATTTGACTCCCAAGCCTGGGTGTTTCTAACTTAGATCTCTCAAAACTGAGACTCTTTCCTCAGGAAGCTAACACATTCCCAGTAGTGTGAACTCTATCTGTGCACAGAAAGGAAAAACCCCTGGCCTGACATGGTGAGCTGACAGCTTTAATGGCGGCACTCGGGAGGCAGAGGCAGAGGCAGAGGCAGCAAGCTGTCTGTGAGTTCCAGGACAGCCAGGGCTACAGAAAAAAACCTATCTCAAGAAATCAAAAACAAAAGGGGAAATCCTAAGTGAGCCATGGTGGTGCACACCTGTAATCCAGAACTTGAGAGACTAGCCTAGCCTGGTCTACATGGTGAGTTCAAGGCCAACAGTTCTACATAGTTAGACCCTAAGAGGTTTCAGGAGACAAAAAGATTGCCACAAGTTTAAGGCCAGCCTGGGGAACAGAGTGAATCCAGGTTAGTGTTAGGATATTTTATTTGTATTGTTATAAATAACGCTTGCCTGAAGATCAGAATGCAAAGCTAGAGGCCAGAAAGTGGTGGCACATACCTTTAATCCCAGGATTTGAGAGACAGAGACAGATGGATCTCTGTGAGTGCAAGACTACCCTGCGCTACCCAAGATCGATCCAGAAACAGATCCAGGTGGTGGTGGCTCACACCTTGAATCCCAGGGTTTGGGAGTCACAGACCTTTAATCCTAGCACTAGGAAGAAGGAGATAGGAGCAATATGGCTGGGCAGAGAGAGGAATATAAACGGGGAAGAGACAGGAACTCAGTGGAGTGTGGAGTCTGAGGATTCAGAAAGTCAGGATCTCGCACATTCGGTCTGAAGATCTGGTAGAGGTAAAAGGTCTCTCTAGTGACCAGCTGCTTTGCTTTCCTGATCTTCAGCTTGAACCCCAATATCTGCCTCTGGGTTTTTATTATTTGTTCTACAGGTTAATCTTGGATATAGTGAGACACTGTCCCAGAAACCTCGATACGTGAATAAATAGATAAACGGGCAAGAGGGGAGCTTTTCATTGTGGGCATTCATGAATATAAGGGGTTGGTGAGAATATGGGTCACTAGATAAATTCAGCAAAGATATAAAGTTACTTTGAAAATAATACTTAGGATCCAAGTTCTGAATTCTACAACACTAAGAGGTTTAATGGGTAGCAGCATGGAGCTAATGAAGTCTGGGTTACAGAAGTATGCCACCACATCCATATCCCATTTATAAAATACTGTGGCTTCATACATGGTAGGAGAACATTCTATCAAAGAGCCATGTCCCCAAGTGTCCTTTCTTTCAAACAGTTACATGAAGGGGATTATGCCACTGTCTTTTATATGTAAATTATATAGCATGAAATTCACCCCTTTAAAGTATGCAATGTGGAGTAGGGATATAGTCTATGGTGTGTGTGTGTAAGTACATGTAATGACATGTAATGAGTATGTGTGTGATGGGTGTGTGCTCACTTGTGTGGAAGCTAGATGTTGATATCACATGTAATAGATAGATGCTGATATCACATGTAATAGATAGATATTGATACATATGTAATAGATGTTGATATCACATGTAATAGATAGATGATGACATCACATATTTCTGTTGCTCTCCACCTTTTTGAATATTTCTTTTCTTCTTTCATTTTTGTGTGCATTGTATATGTACAGGTACACACACTTGTGTACATGTATGCATGGGGAGATCACATTCATCATTGTGTCTTCTATCACATGCCTCCTTGTTTTGAGACAGGGTCTCTCGTTGAGCCTGAAGTTCACTATTTTGGCTACGCTGTCAGCCCAGAGACCTCCCCAATGCTGAAGCTGCAGGCATTCTAACGGCCACACCTGACTTTATGGAGGAGATTTGACCTCTGACCCTCTCGCTTTTAAAACCAACCACATTTAGACTTTTTTTTTTCTTTTTTGCAAAACACATGTATTTGAAGAATTTTAATCCCAGCATTCTGGAAGCAGAGGCAAGAGGACCTCCGTGAGTTTGAGGCCAGCCTGGTCTACAAGAGCTAGTTCCAGGACAGGCACCAAAGCCACAGAGAAACCGTGTCTACAAACAAACAAACAAACAAACAAAAACCCCACAGAATAAGAAGAAGGAGAATGAGAAGAAGAAGAAGTTCATATATTTTAAAAAAAGAAGTTTTTAGCAGTGTTTGGGAGACAGTTTGGAGAGGAGGAGCAGCAGGCTGCTCTTGCAGAGGACCTTGATTCAACCCCCTGTGCTCAGAACACTCAAATGGCAGCCCACAATCTTTTCATGGTGTGGGGCAGAGGTGGGGGGGTGTGGAGAAACAAGGTTTCTCTGTGGAACAGTCCTGGCTGTCCTGGAACTCTCTCTGTAGACCAGGCTGGCCTTGAACTCACAGAGTCCTCCTACCTCTGCCTCTCAAGTGCTGGTATTAAAGGCATGTACCACCAGGACCGGCCGGCTCACAATCTTAACTCCAGTTCCAAGAGATCTGATAACCCTCTTCTGGTACACATGTGGTGCCTGGACAGACATGCAGGGAAAATATTCATTCACATAAAATAAAATAAATAATACTTAGCATGGTAGAGATTGTCTTTAATCCCAGGGCTGGAGAGGCATAGTCAGGCAGATATCTCTAAACCGCAGGCCAGCCTGGTCTACATAGTGACTTCCAGGATAACCAATGCCACAATGAGAGACCTTGTCTTTAAAAAAGCAAACAACAAAAACTCACTGATGCTTGCCCATAACAGGCAAGGTAACTTCTTTTGCAGTGGTATTGATGATGGTGGACTCAAAAGTGAGAATCAGAGACATTGAAGGCATCTGTGACAACCTCCCACCACACCCCACCCTACCTCCTAAAGAAAAAGATAATGTTGTAAAATAATCCTCTTGTACACTGTAAAGACTTATCACTGAAACTGGTTTAATAAAACACTGATTGGAAAGTAGCCAGGCAGGAAGTATGGGTGTGGCAACCAAACTAAGGATGCTGGGAAGGAGAAGGGCGGAGTCACAAGATGCCAACCAGATGCAGAAGAAGCAGAAGAAGCAGAAGATCAATGTGCCTTGCTAATAAAGGTACCACCATGTGGAGGAGCATAAATATAGAAATACAGATTAATTTAAGTGCAAGTTAGCTAGTAACAAGCCTGAGCTATTGGTAAAGCATTTATAATTCATATACACCCTCTGAGTCAATTATTTGGGAACTGGCTTCCAGCTATTTGGGAAAGGGCAGTCGGGAGAGAAACATCTGTCCACAAGAAAGTCTAGACAGGAAGCCACTGAAGTAAATCCTTTAAAAATGTGATAAAGTGTAGTTCTTTATAATTGATGATTTCTGGTGGGTGGAGCACAAGGGGACAACATGGGACTCAGATGTTTTCAAGGACTGGCCACTGGGAGATTGACCATGCTCAATGAACAGCACAAACTGGACTTGGATAATATAGGACAGAGGGCACGGGGGTGGGAGGGTGGACCTGGGAGGAATAGGAAATGAGTGTGATTGGGTGCATTGCATGAAGTTCTCAAACAATCAATAAAAATATTATGTTGGGGAGAAATAAATAAATAAACCTGTTTTGTTTTAGTTTTCAAGACAGGGTTTCTCTGTAGTTTTAAAGCCTGTCCTGGAACTAGCTCTTTGAAATCAGGCTGGTCTTGAATTCACAGAGATCTGCCTGCCTCTGCTTCCCAGTACTGGAATTAAAGGCATGTGCCACTACCGCCTGGCTAATAAAATGAATCTTAAGAACATTTTCCAGGAGGCTGTGGCTCTGGGTCTGATTCTCACCTCATCATTTCATCCTTGATTCCGGCTGGACTTTCCCATCTTCTCCATCACACAGCTTAAAGCTGAGAAACGTGGCTGAGGGCAAAGTAAATGGGCTGCCGGATGGGATATACTTCAGAGACAACCTGCAGAGCTGAGGCTGCAATGTCCAATGTGGTAGCGGTGGGAGGTGGGGTAGGGGTGAAGCTGCTGTGTGAAGGTGCAGCCCACCCCAGCTCACCAGCCCTAAGGTGTGCTACCAAAGCATGGTGGACTGTCTCATGCAGATTCCTCAGACAACAGTTTCGTCAGCTATCCGTGTGGAAATTTGGCAAGTATTGATATTTTCTAAAACAAGCTTCAAATTTTGCTGTTCAAGACAATACATCCATTTCTGTCTAGAGCTAATGAGACCATTCTGGAGCTTTTTGTTCTGTCTTGTTTGTGAACCTGGCTGTGGTGGTTCCCATAGCTCATATATTTCAATACATAGTCACCAGAGAGTGGCGTTATTTGAAAGTATTAGAAGGATTAAGAGGTATGGCCCTGATGAAGGAAATGTATCATGGGGGTTGGCTTTGAGGTTTCAAAAGACTATGCTAACCCCTCTATCTTTATCTACAGATCAGGA